TGGATGCTCAACAGTGCCCAACGCACTGAACACACGGGGACCCATCAAACTGTTTGTCAGTGGCATGTAGCAAAAAACCAGCAATGCTTTCTAGTATTCTTCATGCTGAAGGTGGACTACAGTATCCCTTTGTAGAAATCTAAGGTTTTGCTGATAAAAGGTGAAACTTCACAGAATTAGAGTCTCAGACACTTACTCTGCCACCCTTAAGACCCACATTTGTCAGAAAGCCCTTCCCGCCCCGTGTCAGAAACGACGATCCCACGAACGTGTGGTGCTGTAAGCATTGCTTGTTCAAACACGATGTACAATAAAAGTAAACGGTAAGTTCGTAATTAACTTCTTCCAGAAGGCATAACTTCACTAGAAAGATCTGAAAAAACCTTTCTCGTAAGCAAACCTAAAAAAAGGCAATTATATTGCATCAGATGCTAACACCTGGCACTGGCTACCGGAACAAGCAGAAAGGAACACGAGCAGCTCAGATTTTGGATTCTTCCATTTCCATTTGGGGCCACCACTGACTTTGGATGGAGGCCAAAGGAACTGGAGACTAGAGCAGAGAGTCAGGCCCTCTGTGTACTGAGAGTGACAGCGGTGAGAATAGGAACCAAGCAAGAAGCAAGTCTCCACCTCCGGTCCTACTCCCCTCGCCCTACAGGGAACTTCTGTTCAGAACCAAGGGTTCATCCTGAGCTCTACCATTTGCCTGCGTAACAACAACAACAAAAAGAATCACACAAGCTGACATACATGCCATGTTCTGAGTCTAAGACCTTCATTTCACGTTTTCTTTCTTTTAAAAAAATCTTTATTGTTGAAACTATTACATATGTACCCTTCCCCCCTCCCCCTCACTGACCCCTTCTATCCTGCTCCTGCCCCCACCCCAGGCCTTCACCACACTATTGTCTGTGTCCCATGGGGTTAGCATATATGCACACAAAGTTCTTTGGTTTAATCTCTTCCTACCACCCACCCAGACCCGCCTTCTCTCTGAGATAATCAGGAATAAGATACTTGATCTCAACACGAATGTCACCCGGCAGACATAAATGCACACAGTAAAATGCCATAACAGAGGCTGGAAGACCTTAGAGCTGCTGAGACCAAGAAGACCTCCAACTTGGATAGTCTTGGAATCTCTACCTTCTATGGAAGCAGAACCATTTTTTTAAAAAATGCTATCTAAGTTTGGGACAACCATTACAGTAATTTAGTGTTACTCTGAAGAATGTCCTATACTCACTTACCCTACATGACTATTGTTAAGAGACCCATTAAAAATCATTGCTTAAGTAACAGTCTAGTCTTTAGCTACAGAGAGATCATGTGTTGCTTAAATAAAAACTACAGAAAAAATCTACCAGTTAATTCAAAATACATGCCTGAAAATAGGGAAGAGAAATTCTATGGAAATAGTAAAGCTCTTTCCTAATGTGCTCAGGTGATTTTAAGCACCAACTGTCTTGCATATTTTGCAACTGTTTCCTTCCAAAAGCTAAAAATGTCTTGTACTTTACAGACAGTATTTTAGCATTGTTGCCTGTCACACACATAGGCAAACTGTTCAAAAGCTTCAATGTTGAAATTAAAATAAAACGTATGCCTAGAGTGGTAAATATTCCTGAATTGATAGAGTTGCAGCAGATAGACTCCAAAAATTGACTGAAGTCTGAGATATTAGAAAGACGAAAAATTTATCTAGTTTTAGCAAATGTCAAATCAGCAGCTATTGCTTTTAAGATTAATAAAAGATATAATGGTTTCCAGATAGCCTCTAAATAGAGATTACTATGAATGGGGAAGTGATTTACCAACAGTCATCACAATGAGATTTCTTTAAAGGTTACAATCATCAGTTATTTAGCTGAAACACTGCTGAGAATGCCTGGTCATTTCTTGAATAATGCATTATATTCATTGTAGATTTGATCTGTATTATAGCAATACAGATATTTCTAAAATAATGGAAAAAACTATCTGTTACCTTCCAATTGCTTAACATATCATTTCCACGAAGTAATTGACTCAGAACATATTACACACTGTCACCTGGGTGTTCTTTCTGCAAGCATAACTTGTAAATAATCTGTACACAATGGGCATCACAAAAAAAACTCATCAACCTTTATAGACTTTTAAGAAAAGATGAGATGAACAGGGCAGAGTGAAGGACCTTTCTGAAGCAGTAAATTAAAATGATTAAATGTCTATATAGTTGGGGTGACAAATTTAAGCTCTGAAATTTAATTATTAACATGGATAACTCACCACATTTTTTAAAATGTGGCCTACGATGTGTAAGTCCTTCTCATATAAATTTCCAAATGCCTTTAGGTTTACTCAAGAGACTGCTTGGAGAAGCATCAAGTATAATGTGTATTGTTTTATTGTTGGATTATGAACTGCACTTCCCAAGATGCTACAGGCTATTTATATAAGCTGGTTTATCCATATGAACTTCTTCAAGGGCACAACATAGAAGACCTTAATAAATTAAAACGAGTTTCTTTGATGTGGTTCCATGAATCTTTGATCAGTATGAGTAGCAGGTTTGCATTAAAGAACTAGAGTAAAGCAATAAAATATACATATACTGTGTACCAGTTTATAGAAAGTGCCCATTGCATTTTTCATTCCTCCCAACTTCTGAGAATCGGGGTAAGTAGTACAGAGCCACTATGCTCACAACTACAGCTTTAGCCTCTCACCGGTTTACTAATAGTGGGAACAACATGTTACAACATGGATTCTCTGCCAAAAGCCGATGGAAAGTTTACAATAATAAAATCTGTGATCTCCTTCCAGGCTCCTAAACATCCATCCCAGCCTCCTTGTTTTTCTCACTGACATCGCCATGTCCTTCCTCAGACTGAAACCCATGAGGGCAGAGACCATGTCTGCTCGCCCCGCCCCTCCATCTTTATCACAATAAGTAGTGAGAGAGTTGAGTTGATTGAAGGCCACAAAGCCCAAATGAATTAGTCACACTCTGAAACTGAAAGAATTCTCACCTGGAATTTTTGAAGATGGTGATACAAATTAAGTATCATCTTTGGAAATGAATGTGATATGATAGAAGAACACTTAGACAGAAAGGCAAAAAAAAAAAGGAATTCTAGTTTTAGATCTGTGAACACTCAACTGTAAACCCTTTCTACATCATTCCCCTCACCTGTAAAATGAAGGCATGGTTCTATGTGCCCTATAATTCTGAATCTCTAAAAGGCCATGATTCCAAGAGTAAGCAGGGCTATCACAAAATAGAAGAATGGACAGACAAGGGAACCATTGGATTTTTCTACTTTGGTAGCTACTGCCACCACAAAAAAAACCCTATAAACTACTTCAAAGAAAAATGGAAATAAAGGAGAAGATGATTATCCTAAACAACTTAATATAAGTCCACTCCCTCAAGCAACATATTTAAAATTTAATAATAACATTTTGTACATTGTGTGATTTAAAAGCTTTTGCACTTATCCTTCCATCTTGCATGATTTGGAATAAACATGAAGACAGCCTACTGACTAAGCTCTTCTGTATACAGTAAATACTTACCAGGATTACTATATTCCCGGTCTTCAGCCTGGGAAAGTTCCCTACAACTTTAGCCTCTGGAACATGGACTGTTGTGTGGCCAAGTTGACACCTACATTCTCAGGTCAGAGGGCTGTGAAAGGACAGCATAGATGTGCCTTGGCTGGTTTGTTCTCTGCTGTCTTAACCTCACATCTTGCCCTTGAGAGCTATTGTATTGTATGTTCTGCTCAAGCTTTGAACATCAGTCTTACATTCTAGAGCCGGAGTCTGGCAACTATGGCTTGTGAGCCAATCGGGTGGCAGCTGCCTGCGTTGTAAGCACAGTTTCATAGGCCACAGCCACGCCCTGTTGTCTATGGCTGAATTCATGCTGCTATGGCAGAGTTGAGTTAATCCCCAATGTCTAAAATATGTACTATAGGGCCCTTTACAGAGCATGTTTGCCAACCCCTGCTCTAGAGGAAAATAACACGTTGCAATTTAAACTCTAATTGTCCTTCTCTCCTAAGCATAAGAAACACAAACCCTAAGTAGTGATGGCAAAGAGAGGAACGGATTGACACATGCACATGCACAAAGATGGTTACACCTCTGAGCACAGGACTGTACACAGCACTGCTTCTGACCCTCATTTTAATGTAAGTCCTCTAAGGGTTACACTCCCCACTGTCCCCTTTCCTACAACAGCCAAGAACGCGGACCCTCTCCGAAGGTAGCTGTCAAGGTGTCACCACTAACTAAAGAATCTGATTCCTCCCTGAGAGAAGGTTGCCTGAAATTCTGCCAAACATCTAGTTTTATCCCACACTCATCAAGGGTCTAGAAACTACGTTAGGCACAAGAAACTAGGAGATCCCTAAAGTCCTATGCTTTGAATGACACGCCCTTGAAGTTAGAAAAATCAATGACCAACACCACATATGCATTGAAAAACATATGCATACATACTAAATTACTAGAAATGCCATACATTTTTAGGAGTTACAGGAGCACACAAGAAATACCTCTCTTAATTTCCAGAGTGAAGAAGGCCTAAAATTTTAAAATAATGATTTAAGGGTAACTGCACCAAGATTTGGAGGACAAGTACATGTTTATATTTGCAACTTCTAGGCAATATGTATAGAGACTTGAAACATTAATACATTTCTTGTATTTTTTTATTAATCAATAAAATCATTGCTCAAAATGCCTGCTACAGTTGGACTCTGTTTACTTCTTTTCTTTGGTGACTAAAGACAGAAAATATTAGCTCCACCCATTAGCAATATTCTCATACTCCACCCATCAATAAAAATTTTCATGTATTAACATAACTTATATTAAACCCAGGAAGCACTTTAACGTAAGTCATTTCATTCCCATTTCTCCGAAACCTTATATAAAGTGATAGAATACTTTAGGCTGACAAATTTTTTTGAAAAGAAAATAGAAATAGAAGAGGTTCATTTCACCTTCACACGGTGTCTTTCTCATGCAGAGTTCAGATTTCCACATTTGTATCCCTTTAAAGGATTTGATATGCAGGAAAAGAAGAAAGGATGATGGTAAACATTTCATCTTAAAGACAGCTACAGACCACCATATGCCACAATGACCAGAGGCTTAAAACCTACCTTTTACAGATGTGTTTGGGGGTGGGCCTTCCATTCGCAAGTTCCATGGAGGGTCCCCCTGGTTAGCAAAGTCCCTCATTTTCAGATAGCTAATTGTAAGTCGAATGATGGACGCCTTGTCCAGCTGGCTCGTGATGGCTGCAGGAAGAGGCAATAACTTGGCCAATTCATAGAACTCAAAATTTTCTTTTCCCCGGCGGGAGCGTGCAGCGTCTCGGGATTTCTCCTTTCTCAATGCTTGTAAACTGAAACCAAAGAAGTGACAAAGTACTGTTTAGAACATATGATTTTCTCATCAGATAGAAACTGCTTTCTTTTTACTTCCCCTTTCCCAGCAAAAAGCTACCAAAATCTTCTTCAAAATCCCATGGGCCATGGCAAAATACCTTCCAGACAATGTCCACTAAAACCATAAATTCTACCTCTGGACTTGTATGTCATGAACTCAAGTGCAATGAGTAAAAAGCATTTGCTTGGTAGGGTTTTCCCCCTCAATTGACCATGCAGTAACATACATTCCTTGTTTCTGAAACATACGATTTACAGGTGATACTTGATCTTTTCAGCTATAAGCAATTTAAAAGATTGGGCTTGTAGATATCTATTCTCAGATATCTATCATATCTATTCTCAAGCTGGCTTTGTCCATTTAACTATTATTCTGATGGGATTATAAGCCATCAAAAGGATGCATTTAAAACCATTATTGCAGTTATCATCTCAGAGGAAAAGGAAAATACAAAAACAATTCACAGAATCAACAAATAAAATGTTGATGTTCTTCCAGCACTCAGTACGGATCAAGACCTCAGTCAGATAAAGAAAACATCCTATTGAAGAGGAAGATTTCCATGTAACTTTATAAATGTGCTGGTAATTAGTTGATAAGAGAATACTTTCATTCTTTTATCAATGGACATACACTAATGAATGGATAGATTCCCTAAATTACTAGAGGATAAAACACATTGCCCAGAAAAGTCAAACTTTATGATAATATAAATTTAATGTTGAAAGACAAAAAGCCCTGTCTGGGTTATTAAAATTTATAAACATTATAGACATATTACTTCACAGAAGAGGCAACAGGTGGGATCCAGCATTTTTCTTTAACTATTCATGTGCATTTCTGTTTGAAGTTTGCTCACATTGCTGAGGGCAGAAGCTGGCACCACTGAAGTTGCCTCTGAGCATCTGACAGGAAAATTCCACCTACTCTGAATTGCTCTGTTTTGTGTCTGACAAGAAATAAACTCAAAATCAGACACCGGAGATAGGTAATTGGGCAATATTTACAGTATCCAGATACTATTAAAATCATTTACAGGTATCCATTTTATTGAACTCTGAGGACATTTTAAATCTTTGAGTCTAGCATGCTGGCTTTCCCTTATAAAATAGTGAGAATGAGAAACAAGGAAGGGAGACCAGAGGAATAAATCAAAGTGAGTTTAAAGTTGTGGCTCCCATCCCTATTAGTAGAATATGGACAATAACATTCCAGGTCACATTAGTGTATACCTTATATTGTTCCTGGTGTAAACATTGTATTCAGGGTAGACACCCAAACTATCTTATTAAATATCTATGTAATTTAAGTAATGCCATAATGTTCTGGTCTAATGTCCCAAATTATTTCATGTTTACTCTATTAATAAAATATTCTGAATTAGCTAGCTAATATAATTCTCAGAACTGGACAAGTTACTGCTATCATTTTCAGTCTCAGCAGTCTTAGGTGACAAACCTTTGTCTCTTCATATCTCAGGTGGTAACTCAGGCAGAAACCTCCTTAATTTACAAGGAAAAGACTTGTTTTGCCACTTATATCCCAATATCTTAGCTGGCCTCCATTCAATTCTATAAATGATCAATTTTGGCTTGTTGAAAATCTATAATAATAAAAGTGTAATATGCTAATTAGACCAGATGTCCTTCCGGATGATCTTCCGAACGAAGCCAGGGCTGCAGCCACAGGATCGAGGCAGCTGCCAGGGCTGCGAAGGGCTACTCTTGCACGTATTTTGTGCATTGGGCCTCTATTTATGTAAATAAAGTGAGAGGATCCTTAAAATATGACCAAGTATAAATCTAACCAAGATCCAGGTTAACATCTTAAGATAAAAGAATGAGACATATCCCTCTCTATAATACAAGCAATCTACCTAACACCATTTAAGTCATCTGTGCCAAAAAACTCTCTTTTCACATGTTTCTCTACCACTTATGGAGTGCAGTGGTTCAAGTTCAGTGCTCTGTTCTCTTTATATGCTTGTAATTGAATACTACTCCAGAAGGTGGGCTGAACTCACAACTTTTTTTTAGTCCAATAAGTGACTATGATGGAGCTCTGGAGCAGAGGTTGCAAACTCAAGGGCTCACAGGGTTAAGGCAGGGAACAGCAATGAGTGAAGAGGCCTGGAGGACAGCAGTGCAGGCAAAGGGTGGCACACACTTCCAGCTAACTACAGCTTTGGTGGCAGGCAGGCCTGGTGTTGCCAGAGTTCTGGTTTTTCTATTTCTAAAGAACAAAAACTAAACTTTTACATGGCATTTCAAATTTTATGTTATGTTTTAATTTTGTGTTAGCTAATTAAAGTTCTAAAAATCACACAAGCCCATTAAAATATGTCATTTGGTCAACAATGGAGCAGGGGTGCATTTTTATAACTGGGTAATAATTTGGGAGACCACTTTTGAAGGTAGTTTTAGTGGATGATATATATGATTTTCCTTTAGACATGTCACTCAAATGATCACAAATGGACTCATTTGTTACCTAATTAATATTACTAATATTCATGCTAGGAATTTCTCTATTCACCTGAAGCAACGAGGGGATGAGGCAATTAACTCTGAAATTGATATTAATGCATAAGCTTATCAATAAACTAAAGAAAAAAATAATCCTATGGGGAGGAAAGCTCAAGAGCACAGGAAGCAACCCAATGGGCTCCAAAGCCTAGCAGAGGGGAATGGGAATATGTGGACACGAATGCCTTTTAGCATTCTGCTCAATACTGCCCTGACACCTGACTGTTCTGAAACAGCACTGAGCACAACTTCCTCTATGTGTTCCTGTTCCACTTTCTGTTGTCTTTCTGCGCCCCCCCCCCTCCTTTTTTACACTAGCACACACTGTTACCCCACTGGAGTAATCTTCTTGGCCATAAACTCAATAACAAAGGGTTTCCATGACTCCCACATCACATCATTATGCAGACACCATAGTTCAGAAGAATTTCAGAATGATAACACTGTGTCTGTAATAAGTAGTAATTGGTTTTGAGGGTAACAGCAATAAAATATAGTCAAAGGATTATAGAGGTTATAGAGATGCTGACAAAAATAGATGAAGCTAAGGACCTTAACACAACAACACAGATTGAGGATTAATCTTTTTTTCTGCTTTTGTGAAGTAGAGCCTAGTTATGAGCAATTCTCAAATTGAATTAAGGACTACATTAAAACCTAAAATAAACTTAGTATTTATACATTCTGTTCTAAACCAAAAAAGTATTTATAGAATACTAAAGAAAGGATGGCTTATTTGTACGTGAGCAAAATGTTTGATCTCTGCCGTTTAAAATATGATTAGGCTTCAGAGTCACTATAAGTACTCCCTGGGCCCAAACTCCCCACTGCTGATGCTCATGTAGGAAGAAGAGACCACCTTATTCCTAAGCAAATCAAAATGCCAGCGCTCTTTGATGAGGATATTATCAACCTCACCAGCACTACCACCAACTAAAAACCAAAAAATCAACAGCCACTTCAAAAGGGAGACATGTAGATATGTAGATATGTACAGATTGAGATAAATAAAAGTTGGAAGTCCTATATGAAGTTATATGTATGTATACATGTATATTTGGGGGAAGATAGTAAATGATTTTCAGATTATCCTTAGGGACCCCATCTCCCCAACTAAAAGGGTAATGATCTAGTGCAGTCGTGGGCAAACTACAGCCCGCGGGCCGGATCCGGCCCGTTTGAAATGAATAAAACTAAAAAAAAAAAAAAAAGACCATACCCTTTTATGTAATGATGTTTACTTTGAATTTATATTAGTTCACACAAACACTCCATCCATGCTTTTGTTCTGGCCCTCCGGTCCAGTTTAAGAACCCATTGTGGCCCTCGAGTCAAAAAGTTTGCCCACCTCTGATCTAGTATCTTGAATTTCTCCTAAGCCTTATTAAGTTAAATTTTCCCCTTCTTCTTGTCATTGATGTTGCCAGAATTCATTTATTATAAACAAGTATCTCTGGTTCCAATAATATTATTTAATCTATGTTTCTTCTCAACACCTTGAAAGAATTTGTACAAGTTTCTAAAGCTATACCTTATGCACAGATAACAAACAATCATAAACTTTTACTAGTAATGACAGTGCACATTAAATGAAAAGTGATTTTTTAAATCCTTTTATGACTCTTAAATCCCTTTGGCAAGTTGTGTATTTTGTGCAAGGACTCCTGGTGAAGGAGTTAAAGACACATGTTGGGCATTTGCAACCATTATGATTCTAAGTCCAAAGTTGAGCCTTAATTTTATCATTTTATAAAATGAGGATGACAAATAGGGCATTTTTGGCAAATCCCCTGAGAGTTAGCTATAAAGTAGTAAACGTCTTGGACAGTTCTAGATTTTAACAATTAAGATAGTTCATGAATTCTAAATGTGGTAGAGTCCACTTTAGAATTTCACAACAGAGAAGAATTTTAAGAAACTGGAAAGCTCAGAAATGCCCAAAGTAAAGCCAACCCATCCTTAAACTTGGAGTGGAAGCTCTGTAGCCAGATTGTGGACCTTCACATCACCAGACAGTTACTCGCTGGGCAACCTTGGGTAGGCCTCTCAACCTTTTTAGGCCTCAATTTCCTCATCTGGAAAATGGACATTTTAATAGTATCTACTTCATAATATTCCTGAGAGGAATAACTGAGCTAATCTGTGCAAATTGCTAAATTTCTACCATATTGCAAATATTACATAAGCAGTAACTCTGATTATAATAGATATAAAACTTATATGGGGAAAAAAGCCCAACTGTTTTAATCCTAGTACCACATCTGATTACCACCCTATTTCTCCATAATTCTATATAACTTTTTTAACCAAGCTTCTTATCTATCATGTTTGACTACATTTTCTATAATTCCGAATACCTGTTTGCTTTCCTCATTGTCCTCTCAGACTCCTTTCTCTACTGCCACTTACGTATGACCTTCATTTTAGTAAA